CTCTGTGTTATGAGGACTCTGTTGGTCTCATCCTCATGAAGAACTGCTGTGATGAACATGGGTTGTATCTACGGTTTGTTTAGTGATTTCTTCTGGACTATGACTCCAGTTACCTGCCAAGAAAGCTCAGACCTTTACCCAGAACTTAGGGTTCATCTCCTGACCTTCAAACCCGTCTATGGCCCCCAAAACTTAGAATGTCCTAGATGCCCAAGTCTGATTCTCCAAAATCCTGTGTATCAGTGAACGCTCTGTCCAGTTGCCATCCACAGAGGTCTGTGTTGGCTCCTCATTTCCCTCCCAACCCCACCATTGAAAGTCTGGCCAACTCCGCCTGCTAAGTATCTCTCAGGTTCTTCCCACTCCATCTCCATTCGCTGCCTGCCTGTACCATTATCCCTGTCAGGATCATCACAGAAAGCTTCTAAATGGTACCACTGCCTGTAATCTGGCCACAGTACAGCCCATTCTCTGTACTAAAATCAGAGTATGTTTTAATATTTCCCCTGTTATTTTATGTGTATGGGTGTTTTGCCTGCACAGAGGTCTGTGCACCATTTCCATGCCTTACGTGCATAGAACCCAGAGGAAGGCACCAGATCCCCTAGAGCTGGAGTTACAGATGGTTGGAAGCCACCACGTGGGTGCTGGGAATCAAACCCTCATCCTCCGGAAGAGCAGCCAATAGTCTTAACCATGAGCTCCCTCTCCAGCTGCTGGGGTAGTTGTTGTTCTTTTTCTCAACCAAAAATCAAATTCGTGTTACATACCAACTCGAAAACTTGCAGTAGTGCTTGCCACTCAGGTGAGATGCTTCAGCCCCCTTAGCATCATTTGCAAAGCCTGATGCGCCCTTACTGACCTTCCACATCTTGCTGTCTTCTCAGTGAGGACCACACTTAGTAGGAAGATCCTCTCTATACGCCTGGTGCATTTTTTCACTTCTAGGGTTTTGTATGTGCTTTTTGGGGAGCCCCCAGCCCCTACATTTAAGATGGTCACCTCTCTTAATGGGTGCCTAGGACATATTTCCATTTGCAGTTCTGTGACCAAGTCCCTATCTGCTTTCCTGTCGTGGAGCTGAGGAGCTGGGGGAGGGGGGCGCTGCCTGGAGGTTAAAGGTGCATCCACACCCCAGAAATCTCATCCTGAGATCAGCAGGAGTAGGACCAGTTTCTCCTGCCCTGCCTCCTGCCCCACACAGGCAGCCTGTGCCCCCTGGAGGAGCTCACATAGCTTCGGAGTGTTGTGCTTGTTTTTAACTCTTATTTTTTGTCTCCACCTCCCCCTCGCCAGCCCTTTAACCTTAGGTTAGAGAGAGAAGGTTAGTGGGGAGAGGGGCACAGACCTCCTTACTTCTCCCTGCTGTTTAGGGTTGATGGGTTCTCTGGCGACTATCCCAATCTCCGTCAACAGCAAACACAGCAAGCAGTCTCTTCGTCTGTCCAAGCCACTACACCGACCATCTCTGGGCTCTCCAAACTGCCACGAACCCCCTTTTCTCTCTCTCTCTGAGCTCTCCTACTTACCTTCCTCAGAATCCTAGGCCACATCCCTATCTGTGCTGCATGAGGCAGTCCGTTACCAGCTGGCAAAGATCGCTCGCTGCAGGAGGCAGTTATCAGCTGTGGACAAACTGAAGCCCAAACTATAATCCCACACTTGGGATTAAAACAAAAACGTGTTTATATAACATAACTGAGTTTTTAAAGAAACCAAGACTTCCATTGCATGGTAGTCAAGTTAAACTTCCTCTCTCCTTACAAGGTCATGTCCAGCAGGACCTGGAATTCCTCCTCACACAAACGAGGCATCTCCAGCACCCTAGCCCTGGCCAGTGATGTATACACTCACCCCAGAAGCCCCTGCCCTCCCCCAAGGTTTAAGTAGCCTTTGTCCCCCCAACTAAATGAGCTGTGTCACTGAAGCTGCCGAGTCTGTTCTTGTCATGCTCACGGCTGTGGTCTCTTTCACCCCCAGCCTCCTGTCCCCACTTCCTGCCCCTGCTTCCCCCATCGGGACCCACTGATGGAACTGTGATGGGCAGGGAAAGGAGCCTGAATGGCCTCCTGTATCAGCCTGTCACTCGAGATGGTTAGGCCTGCAGGGTGCGGCCGCACCCTCTGATTCGCCCTGTATCTTTACTGTGGGTCTGAGGCATAAGAGGCATTAAATCTCCTTTAAAACACTTAAGCTTGGAATGATGATTGTTTCCAGAGAAGTTACAAAGGTGATAAGCACAGTTCCTTTAGACTACCACCCACTTTCCAGTATTAGTATCTTGCACTAATGCAATATACTTACCACAACGAACAGACATATACTGACATCTCATTATTAACCCAAGTCCGTATATTTTCCTTTTCAATACTCTTTTAGAAGTATTTTTATTTTATTATCATTGCTGTGTGTGTGTGTGTGTGTGTGTGTGTGTGTGTGTGTATGCATGATGTTTGTGTGTAGAAGTGCAAGCACAAACATGCCATTCACTGGGAGGCAGGCTCAGAGGCCAACTTTGAGGAATCGGTTCTCTCCTTCCATCATGGGTTCAGGTAATTGAATTCAGGTCATCAGGCGTGCACAGCGAGCACTTTCACCCGCTGAGTTACAGCGCTCAGGACCGAACTTTATTCACCCTTCCTTAGATTTTACCTCATGTCCCTTTTCCGCTTTCAGGGCCCTGCCTGTGATGCCTCATCTGATGGACCTATCTCCGTAGGCACACACTCCTTGGCCTCCGTGCTTTAGTGGACGTTCCTTATTCTTAACTACCTTACATTTTGAGGAGTCTACTTATGTGTTCTGTGGCCTCTCCTCCCCCTGGGATTTGTGTCATGTTTGGTTGGGGTGATAGGACTGAGGGAAAACCCACAGGAACTGGTACCATCTACATACAGCTATTTACCGTCAGTGAGACATCTTGCTGGTGACATTTGCCTCGAGCACCTGACCAGGGCACGGCTTGCCAAGTCTCTCTACGCTACTTACTCCTCTCTCCTGAATGGCATTCAGGAAGATACAAGGTCTAGCCTTCTTTAAAAGGCCAAGAAGTTATGCACAACGTCACTGAGGGCAAAGTGTCCACCTACTTTGAAATTTGTGTGCATGGAAGACCTGTGTAGCTTTCTCCTGTTTTTTTTTCTGATCCAGTCATTCATTTGCACTGCACAAATCCATGGATTTCCATTATACGCAGAGTCTAATTCAATAGTACTTTATCCTGTTGCCCAGATTGTGCCTTCTTTGGACACTGGGGGCTCTTTCTGTGACTATTTGTGTTTATTTTAAGTGCTCCTATTTTTGTTTGTCTTAAACGTGTCCCTTTCTGGCAGAACATGATATTTCTCAACATGACCCAGTTATAGACCATTTCTCCAAGAATCCCTGGTTCCTAGCGGAGGTGAATATATGAGAAACCATAAGATCTCTGCTAGCACTACATTATAAATTGAAAATTGAATTCATTTAGAAGCCACAGATACAGAAAGAATGATGTAAAATTTAGACCACACAAAATGCACAAGTATTATTTAATTTTGCTTCTGACATACTTTAAGAGAAAAGCACTTAAAAAGTTGAAGGCCATTTCTCTCCTCTCTGCCTTGCCAAAACAAGCAACCACAGTCTCTATGTGTAGGTTTTTTTTCAGACGTGTAGATTCTACATTGTAGAAAGTACCTGTAAAAGCAAATAGCGTTAAGGAAAAGACTGGCCTTTTTAGTTGTGCTGTGTCCCCTGACTTCTGAGCCGCTCTGGGTGGTGGCTGTGACTCTGTCTGCTGTGTGTCCCTACACTCCATTCCACTCACTTCTCCTGGAGCTGGCCTTCCCCCGTGCCTTTCCTTCAGGAGTGTCTTCTCTCTGCTCTTATTCGAAGCCAAGTCTGGCTCACCTGTCTCACCATCCCTTCCTTCTCCAGAGCCTGCCCCATGCAGCATCCTTACCAGAAAAAAAGGGGATGTGCCAGAAGCCGTAGGCTTTGTGAAAGCAAACATTGTGAGATTTTTTAAAAATTAAATTTGATGTTTGCCAATTTCATACATGTCTATAAGGCATTCTTTTCATACTCTCTCTCTTTTCTCTCTTCCTCCCTTGTCAGTTCTTTTCCTGCCTGCAAATCCCCTTTTCACATCCATGTCTTTGTGTTTTGCTTTGTGGCCCATTGACTTTAACCAGGGCTGTCTATTGGAACTTGGTAGCCTCACCAATGGATACACAGCTGGAGAGAGTGACTTCTCCTCTCCAAGAATCTATCAGTAGCCAATAGCTGAGCAGGTGAGGGGGACTTGTTGTTGACAGAACCAGTCTTGTGCAGGCCAGGTGCATATAACAACTGCTAGACATGGTGACCGTAATGGCCATGTCATGTCCAGAAGATGATATTTCATAGTCCTTCCCCCCATCTTCTGCTCTTACATTCTTTCTAGCCCCTCTTCTGTAATATCTACTCCCTGGGCCTTAGGGAAATTTTGAACCAAGCAACCAAACAAACAAACACCTTGAACTTGGCACATCATTTATTTGTTTTTTAGGAGCATCTGGCTCTTGCACAACTATTTAAAATGTTTTATTAATATATACTAATTGTGCTGATTCGGAGCTTAGCAATATTATCAGTTCCTTCCAGTTCTTTTTGACTTGTACTGTTGGAAAGTTAAGACTGCCAGGCTGGAGGTCGGGGGATATCTGGAAACCATGACAGTAATTTTTATAGTTCTTTATTTTATTAATATTGTTTCTCAAAACATAAGGAAAATACCCCCCAATGAGAGAAGACTTATAAAGCTCATAAAACTGTCTCCAGCAAGTGACTTAGAATGGAAAGTTAATTGTACAGTTGTGAGGCGAAAGGCTGCGGCTTACATCTCCAGCCTTTCAATCCTTTTCGTGGGCAGCTCTAGTAAAACGGTGTTCCGGACATGAAATATATTGTCTTATGCCAGCAAAACAGGAGGGTTATGTTTAGAAATTCTAGTAACTCTATCTAATCTTTCCCTGTAGGCCACACTTACTTTGCAAAAGTGAATTTGGAAGCAGTTTGCTTAAAGAGAGTTGGCGTAGCGTCCAGGGAGGCAACGGCTACACCATGAAGCACTTCGTGAGGTAAGTGACCGCAGCTCCCCGAGTGGGCCTCTGGAGGAAAGCTTCCTTGCCAGCTAGAGGGCTGTTTGTGTTCCCCAGTGTGGTCCCAAGACAGGGTCTGCTGGCATTGCCTCTTGAGTGAGGGTAACCTTAACGCGAGGCTCCTCTCCTCACTGTCCACTCTGTGATGCTGAGAGAACATGTGGGGTGACAGGGCAGCCTGGGCCCATGAATGTTCTTCACATAAATCTCCAAAAATTAAAAGCTTGGCTGCCACACCGGCTCACACTAGTACTTTTCCCTCACCACAGTCTGTTTTCAGCCTCTGCCGGCTGCCTGGCCTTGTCTCTGCAATATCTATTACCAGCTCCCAGACTGGCCAGCACAGAGTATCTGTTAGTGTTCTCTGAACAGTCCTACTGTGTAGAAAACGTTTTATGACTAACTTCAAGATTACTAATCACCATCAATTTTTTCTGTTAATAAAGTATATTGAATCATATTAAAATATGACAAAGTTAGTCTGAGTATTAGAAATGTCAGTACATTCTCCAGCTCATCTTCCCATCAAGATAGTGACCTCCATAAAATACTTTCCTTGTTTTGCTCTGCAACCCTCTAAGCAAGTTGTAGGTGGCCTTGCTTCTTTCAGGAAATTATTTGGTTCTATTGGAGGCTATTTGAGGCTTTCTTTTCCCCCCTGGTTTTGTTTCTATCATTGTTTCTGGAGGCATATGGAGGGGCGTGAGGGTTTCAGTGTGCTTTGATATGATTAGTGGTGGCTACTGGGTAATTATACAAAACTATCTGGAGATCACAATGAAGCCACTTCCAGTTGTCACAGTCTGTTACCTTGAACAGACTATTCACTAACTTGTTTATCAAAGCTATGTGAAAGTTAGTATTTGAAGTATCACTAATAAGGCATTTATTTGACCTGATATGTTTTTGATTGATGTGGTTACTAACGAACCTGTTTATACAGTCAAGAGAAGCTGGTACTTTTGACTGTCTCCTGAATGCAAACATGGATGTTGGCTGTAGGATCATGCTAACAAGAAGCTCTGGGTGACTGGAAAATTAGCAGCTATAGGTGTCCTCCAGCATAGGGGTTATGGCGCAGTGAGATCTGGTCAAGCCTGTACTGATAGACTTTTTCTTCAGTGTCTCAATATGTTTCAGAAAATCGTGAGCCAAAACCAGCCATTTTATGAGAAATTGTGGCAGTGGCTTCTCTAAGTTTTCTTCTTAAATTGAATGGGTGCAAAGGGGTACTCAGTAGACATCCTAACACTATCGTGTAGAATCAATCTTCACGTGATGGTTGAGAATTGGTAAAATGTTGTGCCGACTAGAACCAAGGATAGTGAAGCCAGCACAGCCTTGTCAGTAGTGTGTTCTAACACAGACTTTTCTTTTCACTTGACGCATATATTTTATAAAGAGATTATTTTCGTGGATTACTTACGTGAAACTGAAGATAGACTGGCAGGCTGCACATTGAGAAGGAAGTGAGGAGGTAGCAGGATGGCTCATAGGGTAAAGATGGCTGCCGCTGACTTTGATGCCTGATTTGATCCCCAGAGCCCACGTGGTGGAAGGAGAGAACCAACCCTGCATGTTGTCTTCCACGTGTGTGCTGTGCACACCCATATACTAGCATGCAAACAGGTACACACAAACATGCACATTTGCACACACCTGCACATGTACACACACACACACACACATGCTCACACATACAGACACCAAGAGAAGAAATGAAGAAAGCGGGCTTTCCACCAATTATTTATTTTGAAATAACAAAAGGAGACTCATTGCCCATTCTTAGTTGATTATTGGTTTTTGCTTGAGATTTTGTTTTTAATATTTTTTAACTATCATTGTTTCAGTTCGTCTTATATTAATATACATGGAATGTGAAAGGGCATACATCAAGAAATCTACAAATTCTATTAGGATATATTACTCTTTATTCCCCAACAGTCCATTCTCATAGCTCTTGAGCAACTTTGGAAATCATTTCATTTCAACC